ACAAGTACAAGAGAAAGAAAATTCACTGTACAATACAGCTTGCCACAGCTATAGATAGCAGTAAACACTATTTCACTTTATTCTGTTTCCATAAAGCACAGTGTTCGCTAAACAGAAAGATGTATCGTAAGTTTGTTGACATTGTTGTACTCCACTCGTATCGGTTGTTTAATAGGTCGCAGCAGGAACAGCTTGTTAGCCAAGAATTGACCGTCGTGATTGTCTCTTCTTCTATTAATCTTCTCACACATATATTCATTAAAGATAAAATTGCTTTGACACTTTTCCTTATCCTCGCAGGTTAGAATCATTTAACGAAATGTATCGTCTCGTATCTTGATCAAATGTAACGTTTTGCGATTTATTTCCCAAATCGGTATCAAATCGGATATTATTCTCTCGAAAAAGACGGATCTTCTGCGTTAATGCATTGCTTGGAAAAGTCCCGACAAATGAAAAACGTGTGTCGAAAATTCAGTGTACACCAAAAGTCACATACGGAGATATAACACGTAATACTCGAATAGTTTCTGTATCGTGCAATTATTTCGATCAAAGTGATGAAAATTGCTTGCAAGTAATCGCGATTAACCAATATCTTGGTTCAAAAGTGTTAATTTTATAGAAGAAAATATAGGTTGCAAGTCACACGTTACTTATCACAAATGCACATGCGTTGCTCCTTATATCACGAATGCACATGCGTAAGCTAATATGGCGGCTCCGCGCCATCTTTGATTCTTCTTCTCACCATCACAGATTAAACGTATTCTAGATCTCGTGCCGTGTATAAATCTTGCTAGTGATGATATGTACGATAAACGAAGCACGATATAGATGATCCGCTATTGCCTGTAACAAATTAGGAAAATTTTATTACTTTAGGAAAAATGTTGAGAATCTTAAGAATAAACATGTAATTAGCGCGTAATTTAATAAAAATAACTGAACGTATAATGATGAAAAATTGTTGACACTTGAAACTTTGCAAAAAGCGAAAAAAAAATCATACAACGATCTACTTGATCTTACTTTAAAGCGTAAAGTTTCTGCTTTGATTGTTTGTTATTTATGTTAAAAATTCACGCGTGTGTTTAATTTCGTTCACTGTATTATTCATCTGATGAACTTTTACGTCTATTCTCTATCCTTTTCAATTCATATAAGCTTTCGCAAATTTTGACTTTCGAAACTGTTTATCATATTTTTTTTCATCTTGCTCACAAGATTCTTTTTCATCCAAAGTTTAAGCTTCATAAATAAAATATATTTATGTAACTATTTAATGCGAGAAGTGTTACTCTTTGATCTTCGAAAATGCTACAAGCACAGACGACATATATGAATATAGACGTCGCATCTTATGAAATTTCGTGTCCCATGCTCTGAGATACCGACATAATAAAAGATCTATGGTTTTTTAGCGCGCTCTACGCTTAATCCGTAGCTTAATCAACGGTGAATTGGAGAACTACATCAAGTAAAACGATCAAAGTTCGTCAATTAGTGAATGCGCCAGAAATATGATTTTTGAAATCCATTAGTATCGTCAAATTTTCAATTTCTCATATATGTCATCTGTACTTGTGGATACGTTTTTCGTAGCGGTAGTGTGTCTTTCGTTTCGATTTATCTTGTTTCCGAAATATAATCCATCATGGTGGGTACATTAATAATAGAATTTATTAAACATGTCTACAGAAACAATAGCGATCCATTATCAATTACTCAAGCGAATCATCAACAAGAAAAGTTAAAATATTTATGGTCAAAGTAGAAGATTGTTTGCGGCTACAAATTTTGAGGTTATGCGAATGAGTTTTTGAATACTTGATTTTTTTAAAAGAGTGAAAGATACAACGAGCAAGATGAATTGGAGTACGAATCCATGAAGTATGATTTCAGAGTCGCGTCAGGACAAAGACGGTCAAAAAAGCCGCGAAACTCATCATCGAGAAATATTATACCCGATTGACCAATGATTTCCATACAAACAAAAGAATATGCGAAGAAATTGCTATTATCCCTAGTAAATCTCTGAGAAATAAAATCGCTGGGTATGTATTTGCAAAGAAAACTGTCTTTAGTATAAAAACGTCTTTAAGGATAGTTTTAAAAGAGAATAAATTTTATAACTTGTGAATTTATCCAAGTTTCATTTTTCTATTGTTTTTAAGATTTGTCACGCACTTGATGAAGCGTCTCAGACACAGCCAAGTACGTGGCATTTCCATCAAACTCCAAGAAGAAGAGAGAGAACGCAGGGACAACTATGTGCCTGAGGTGTCTGCTTTGGAGCATGATATCATCGAAATTGATCCAGAAACTAAAGAAATGTTACAAATGCTTGGTTTCAACAACATCCCGGGCCTTCAACTGACGCAGTCACAATTACCACCATATAGCAGGCATTCTTAAAGTTCATTTCATCATATTAAATAAGATTATTAGCATTGCACTTTTCAATAAAACTGCAAGCTGACATTCTGAAAATTCGTTCGATTCATTCATTCGTTTGTACATTTTACATACGTATATATGTGATTTCTTTATGATAACATTGCGCTAATGCAAGATAAAAGAAAAGAAATTCAATTTGAAGTCGATTAGAAAAGTAAACGCTCGACAACCGATCGTTTTTAATATAATATGAAAATATAAACAAAAATTAAATAAAATAATAATTTGTTGTGTTTTTACGTTAATTATATATGTATTATATGGTATTATTAATTAAAAGGAGTAAATCTCTGTAGTCACATAGGTGCTGCCATCTGTCGAACTCGTTTAAAAATAAATAGCAGGAAAAGCAATGTGTTACTAGACTCTCTGACGGTTGTAGAGAAAACTGTAGGCGATGGAAGAATAAAGACATAAGATCCGATAGATGGCAGCACGTAAATTATTTTTGTAGCGACATCTGTTTCGCGGACATATCATCGAAGAGTCCATTTTAGGTGAATTTACGGCGCCGGTTTTGTTGGGCTCTAAAGCGGGAGAACCGATATGAAGATCGGCGTTGCTATGGAGATGTTTGTAGGTGGTTGTCAAGGAGATTCAACAAGTCTGCGAGAATATAAATAAGAGTTGCAGGGTGGATGGACACAGACGCAAAGAATATATAGAACGTTAAATTTAATATCGTATATCGTATATTCCCAAGTTTAAAGTGTATAAATAATTCATTAATTAATTTTATTATAAAAAAATATAATATTATTAAATAATTGCTATTAAATAAGAAATAGTAATAGTAACGAATTGTCTAGTTATTTTTGTAATACGGTGAATTTGTAATTTATCGGACATCGTTCCTACATTTTTGTAGCGACGTCTATTCCAACGACATCTGTTTCTCAACCATCTCGTCCAAGAGTTCATTTTAAATAAATTTACGGCGCCAACTTTGTTAAAATAAGAAACTATGTAAAAATCAATATTTTAACAAAATTACTATGGAGA